GCAACAGGTCCTGCGCTGGCATGCAAACTCTATAAAAGGTCCCCCCACAACCCACTCAGACTTCTAAACAAAAGGGCTTTCCAGCTATTCCTCTCCCAAACCTGGAGTGGCTGTGAAAGGTTGGGTTTTTTTTTGTTTGTTTTTTTGTTTTTTTTTTTTTTTTTTTCTCGGCCTTGGAAACAAAACACTTGTTAACAACAGTGCCATGCTGATAACTGCTCTCAGACTTCAGGTGGCTCTGTCCCGGCTTGGCAAACAAAGCATTACCGGATGGGTTGCCACGACCACTAGGTGTCCCATACCTGAGACACAGGCCTCCGTTTCAAAACAGTTCATTCAAACAAGGGTGTTACAGAACAAATGGGAACGACCGATACCCACAACATATGTACAAGAGCAAAAGTAGACAAAGTGGGGAGTCCGTGACAATGGCATAGGACGCTTCTCCCTGTGTGATTCAGGGGACGAGGCATACGGTTTTTGAACACAAGCTGGGTGAAGAGAAATGGGATCGAGGGCCCTTTGTCAATATCCATTTGATCAAAATTCTTTTTTACGTTATGTCTTGATTATTTCCAGTCGTTCTGTTTTTGAAGGGGGGATGTAATATGTCTACTAAAATTAAGTGTCACATTAAAAAGAAAATCTCTTTGAGGACCCTGGAGGAAATCCTATGTTCAAATGCATTTTCAAACTTGTCATATTGCTTTGTTTTGTCTTTTATTTTTTTCTCACAGAAGAGACTACATAAAAGAAGTTTGATCAAACAGTGAGACTGGAGCCTCCACATGTGCACATCCAGGTTGCCTAGTGGCTGACTTCTCATCAGGAGGCACATCTCAGCTCCTGCCTATTGCTCTTCGTGGCTGTGGTGAAGTGTGTTTGTCAAGTGCCGGCAACCGGAAGTTCCCAGTGTGTGGAAACCATCCTGTCTATGCACAGGCAGACAGGCACTGGGTCTTCAAAGAATATCGCTATCCAAGAAAATTATTACTTCTATACATGGAACGTTATGAGCGGATTTCCCTTTGTACGCCATGCTATACTTTATGCACTTTTGTGCTTTTATTGAGTATAAAAATAGGTCTCCTTTAAAATTCTGTTTAAGTTTACTAAAAAACTACTTGTTTGTGAAATTCTCTTATAAACTCACTGCATCCACATGGAATAGATAAACTAATCAGGCAGCTAACGCATCTAGGTAGTGTTAAAAAAATAAGACGATGGGGAAAAAATGAAGGTGTGTTAGGAGTTGGGGGTGGGGTGAAAGGAGGCAGCAGTAAGGGGATGGATGGGAAGTAGCTTGGCTTCAGTAATTTTATACTGTGCTGGGAAACGTAAGCAACACACAAAGGGGGCATGGAAACCCCAAACCAAAACCTGAGTTGTTATCAAAGAGCAAAAATGTTGAGCTCATCAAACCCAAAGAGATATGGCAGAATAAATCAACAGGAATGAACAGTGAGAAAGAATCGATAATCAAAATAAGCCAACTCTCAGAGAAACACGTCAAGAGTCGTTACATGGAGACGTTTACTTTGGGGACTTATGAATTCCTGTTCGGACACATGTAAGGCTCAGTCGTGTTGTCCTCCCAGGCCATAGGCTATACAAAGGGTATCTGAAACTGACATTCCTAATGGAGATTTTTATAAAATTTGGCCCTTAGAATAACTGAGAAATATCCTGAAAAACCTTCCCTGAAACTGTAATAAACAAAGTTTCTTTATCTACTGATAAAATCGACAACTCAGTAAGCTAGTTTCGCTGGTCTTCCTACATAAGAAAAAAGCACAAATATAGTTGCCTCAGAAATCTGTTAAAAGCAGAGAACCTCGCAGGAAAAGGAGTATAAAGATTCTAGAAATGAGAGAGTACAAGAAAACCTCTCTTCCAAATGTCCACAAAGATACATATGCCCATTAGGAGAAAAGAGTGAGACTATACATAATACCCCATCAGAGAATAAAAAAGCTGAGTCATGGAATATATTCCACTGAATGACTACTTGAAAATTGAGCAACTTATTTGCCTCATTTCCCAGATTCCTTGGGCAAAACTCATTTGATTTCTGAAGTGAAGAACAAATGTCCATTTCTTACACCGTTCGAGTATCAAGATGATTGTGGTTTCAATTCCCAGAGAAAAAAAGTAGACCTTGCCTTTTGATTTTTTTTTCTCTCAAAACAACTAAGTCAGATCCCAACTGCTAAGAGCATGCATATTCAAATCACTTCCCCTCCATTAACATTAAAAAGAACCATCCAGGCCCAAAAGAGCTGCAATGATTTTTTTTTTCTAGCTAAAGGCTAATCATTCTACAAATAATTTGCCCAGTGACCGTAGTCATTCATAACACGTATTTGCGAAGCACACTTTAAGCACACTGCCTTTCATTCGTATTATTTCTTTTTAATAAGAAGGATGCATATGCATATCAAGAATGTAGAAACTGGAAATTATTTCCACAGCTTAAAGAATTAATAAGAGAACGCTGGTTCAGGTATTTTTGTTTTTTCTTCAAAGATGGAAATCTCGCCAAAAAATGCATTCGAGTCTGTGAACTAGGTACAGGAGCAGGGTACCCAACCGGCTAGACTGCTATGCACACAACGCCCACGCCCACGTTACCATTTTAAGATACTGTCAATGCTCAGTTAAAAAATAAGACTTACTTAGGAGGGAAAAAAAATGTAGCTAAACTTTTATTGAAGCCTAGCCAGTAGCTGGAATACCTTGTGTATTAGACATTCAATAGAGTTCATTGGGAATGATCTTCACAATGCATTCGTCTAAACCGCTTTAAATATTGTTAAAAGCGCATGGAAGCGCCTTTCCTGAGTTCTAACTGGGATTTAAGAAAAAAAAAAATCTTTTTTCTTTTTTTTTAAATCTGATCTCCAACCAGAACTGTCTCTTATTTTCCTACCAAGAAACTCGGCCACATAATTTTAAAATACAAATTACAGCTATGCTTCCATTCTGAAGCCAATTCCTCACACCTTTTCTAATTTATTTCAAAGTTCCTTCCTCACCATGGAAAACGCCCGATGGAAAACAGGAAACGCATGCAAATGTAAAGATCTCAAGACACCCAGAATGCTTTTTTCCTTACGCTTCAGAAACTGTCCCCTATAAACCGCTGGTGGAATCATTCACGGCTTAAAGGTCCCCGCGCGCGGCTCACAGCAGCGCGCTGTGGGGGAGGGGTAGGCGAGAGAAGCCCGAAAAAGCCACACCAGGCCGCCGCCCCACCCACGCGCGCAATGCGCTCGTGCCGCTCGGTGAAGACGAGCTCTCTACCTGCAGCGCCTGTCTTGCGTGGGCCCCCCCCCCGACCTGAATCCCTACTGGCCAAGTCCCCGCGGCCAGTGCCCGCGCCGTAATGGTTTCTGTGGGTCTAGAGTCCGACTATTGGGCACGGAGTTTCAATGCACTGCTGAAGGGCTCCTCGGTCGCGGGCGCCGCGGCCCCGGGGAGTTGGGCTTGCGCGCGGGACACCACGAGGGACAAGCTGGCGGGGGGGAGGGGAGGGCTCGACCGGCCCCGGGAGGCAAATGCTCCATCAAAGAAACCAAAGCCACCTCGCACCATGGAGGCAGCTCCAGGCGCATTTGCTTTCCTCGTGCCCCACCCGCGTGGATAACCCTAAAGGGCGCGGCCCTCTCCACGCGTATCCCATTGAGCGCGCGCAGCGATGCCGCCCGCGGATGGGGGTGGAGATTTAAAAAAAAAAAAGCCAAAGCCAGAAGCGGAGGCCTAGCCCTGTGGACACTAGCTCCTGACTCGCTACGCAGGGACCGGCGCGAAGCCCACAGCGGGGATGGAGATGTAGGGCGGGGTGAGAAGAGAAGACTCCGGGCAGCCACTTACATGGCTGCCTAAGGGCTCCAAAAGCGGCATCCGCCCTCCGCCACTCGCGTCCGCTGCGCCGTGAACACGCGGTCCTGGGTGGACTTAGAGAGACTATGGGCCATGCGAGCTTCTATCAGATCCTGCTGATTTATTAAAATCAAGACACAGACTTCAGCACACACGAAAAAAAAAACAAAAACCCCGGCGGTGACTTCGACAGTGCATTGAGTCTGCTTCGCCACCATTTGCTACTAAATATGCAATGGTCTGTTTATTTAGATTATATTGCACAAAATGAGAAAATTTAAACTATGTGCCTTTCCTTTTTCTTTTTGATAAAAATCGAGTATCCAGTTTCAAACCTTCCGTCTGGGGCCCCGTCCACACATCACAGCGATGAGATACATAGGTCCTACTATGATACAGTACATACAGTCTTAAACTAAGAACAGCTCTGAGGTCTAGGTCACCATTTTCAATAAATCTTTACCTACAAATATTGAACAAATCTCTACTATAGCTGTACAAAAAAAAGTTTGCTTTTTTTTAAACCACAAGGCCTTTAGATGCAAGGATTACTTTTAAATTTTTAATCCTTTTAAACCAGGACATAACGTACCAACATATTTGCATGCTAAAAAAACAAACAAAAAAAGAAAGAAAAACAAAAACAAGAAAAGAAAAAAAGAAAAAGAAATCAAAAGGGAAGAAGTGCCTGAAAGTCTTACTGAAAAAACACAGCAAGATTGTTCCCTTTTCACTGTACAAAAATACGCCTGAAAATATATTAATTTTTAAAAAAGATTGAGGTCTGTTATGTATCAAAAATGTTTCAATACCTTTTTGTACTGAGGTCTAGGCTGTAAGGTATTCAATCAAGGAGGTATAAGGGAACGAGATACCAAAAAAAGGTTGCCAAGTAGAAATCACATTTGTAAAACCATAAACAATTTGATCTGAAAAGTAAACTCTGGTCTTAAGTCAGTTCACAGTTATGATTTTTGTAAGCGTTTGTACAGACTGCATTTTTTCAAGCTCCCTGCAGTTTAAGAAATCGGATGCATAGAAGACATCAGCTTTCTCCCTCCAAAAAAGAAAAGAAAATAAAAAGGTTGCAATGGTCCCTTTTTGTGTTTTTCTTTTTTTTTAAATCACCAGTTCCTTTTTAAATCTCTTAAGAAAAAAACAATATCAACTCCCTAGAGTAACAGTTGTGCCGTCTAAAGGGTCCTCTGCCGATGTCTTTCAGACTTCAAAGAACCACAAGCTTCAAACAGCGCCTTCCGGAGCGGGGCCTCCTCCCCTCCCCCGCCCGGTCCCCTCCGCCTTTGTTGCAATCACGAATTTCAGGAAAAAGAAATAGAAATTACAAAACACGTTTTTTTTTTACGGGTGGGGAAAATCACAACTCCAGACTAGGTGTGCAACTACCTTGAGACACGATAAAGGAAGGGAAGAGTGGGGAGACCAAAAAATTTTTAAAAATTAAAAAATTAAAAAAAAACCTGGAAAATCTGTTTAAAACTACTCATTTCACTTTAACTCCAACAACATTTCATCACCGTTTCCAATTTCTCTGCGCCACATCTCTGACCATGAGCATCTTCTCCCCCTCCCCCCCACCATCCTCTTTATCCTGACCGCCACGACTGCCTCCCGAGGAGCCCTGCGCCCCTCAATACGTGAACACCAGGTCGGAGAAGTTCGCCTCCAGCCAGTCCCCCGCGATCATCTCGCTCAGCTCCGGCGTGCAGTAGTCGGGGAACTCGAAGTGGGAGCCCAGGCTGCCTTCGCTGAAGGAATCCAGGTCCTTATCCACCAGCGACAGGGACAGGTTCCCCGCCGCTCCCGCGCCCAGTGGCTGCTCGCAGGCGCTGTGCGCGCCCTGGGAGAAATTCAAGCTCAGGTCGAACATGAGGTCGTCGGCATCCTCGGCGCCGCTGCCACTGCTGCTGCCGCTGGATGAGGAGGTGGACACGCAGCGCGAGGACGCGGGCGACAGCGTGGGAGGCGCGGGCGGAGGCTGCTGCTTGGTGATGTTCTTGAAGCTGTAGTAGAGCCGGCCGCCCGCGCGCACTTCGTCGTACAGGCTCGCGCCCTCGGGGGACTCGGCGGCACTGCTGAGCGTGGGGCTGGCGGGTACCTTGGCCACGCTGTAGCGCCTCAGCAGCTGAGGGGGCTGCTGCTGCGCCGGCGGCGGCAGCAGGTGCGAGTGCGCGGGCTCGTCGTCGTCGTCGTCAGCGTCCGGCTTGGGCCGTAGCTGCAGCTCGTCATCCTCGTCGTCTTCTTCATCATCGTCGTCCAGGAAGACGCACTTGGCCGCCTTGCCCGCGCCGCAGTCCCCGGGCTGCGCCGCTTTGCCCGCGCCCGCCTTGCCCGCCGGCGCCTTGAGCTTGGCGCACTTCTTGCCCGGGCCCTTGGCTGCTTTGGCGCCCGCCGCACTCTTGTCGGGGCTCTGGCCGGAGCTGGGCTTGGCCGCTGGGTCCGTCTTGGGCTTTTTGCGCGGCCGGTACTTGTAGTCGGGATAATCAGCCATGTGCTTGAGGCGCAGGCGCTCCGCCTCCCGGATGAACGGGATCTTCTCGCTGTCCTTCAGCATCTTCCAGCGCTTGCCCAGCCTCTTGGAGATCTCGGCGTTGTGCATGTCGGGCGACTGCTCCATGATCTTCCTGCGCTCGATCTTGGACCACACCATGAAGGCGTTCATGGGCCGTTTGATGTGGCCCGACGCCGTCTTGCACCAGTCCGGGTCGCTCTCGTCCAGGGCCACCGGGCTGCACGCCATGAACTCGCCCTCCTCGGTGTCCAGCGCGTCCCGGGGCAGGTTGCTCTCGGCTTCCGAGCTCTCGGCCTGCTGCACCATGGTCCGCGGCGGGGCTGGGCGCTCGGTCTCCTGCGCGGGCGCCCCTCCCCCTCCCGCCCCTCCACCTTCTCCGGCAAGTTGCAAAGTCCTTGGCCGCGCGCGTCCGCGGCTGCCCCCCTCCCCCCCGGCCCCGTTCCCTGCTGCGTCGGCGGCTGCGGCGGCGACCGGAGAGGAGGCGGCAGCGGCCCGGGACCCGCGCTCTCTCTCTCTCTCTCTCTCTCACTCGCTTGATTTCTCGCTCTCCCACTCCTGGCAGCCACCGCAAGCGCCGGACCCCAAGCACTCCCAGGCGCGCGCGCTTCTTCTGCAAAAAGTTGAGGGCTCTCTCTCAACTCGTTATCAGGGTGTCATATGGGTGACATCACTACTCCCACTAGCCAATGGCTGGTCCCGACTCCGCCTATCTCCCGTTATTAACCACGGGCTCCACCTCCAGCCCCGCCTCTTGGCCAGTTTGCAAAGATGGGGGGGTTGTCTAGAAATATGTTATTTTTTCAAAAGAAATCCGCGAGTGCGCACAGCTGCGCGTGTCCCCGGGGCGGACGCAGGACCGAGCGAGAGATGCCAGCGCGGACTCAAGGGCGCGGAACGATGGACTGTACCCCGGTGCAGATGCACCCACCCGGACACCACGAGTGGGTGCCCCTGTTCATCCTGGCCGGGTCGCGCCCTAAACCCGCGCGCGATCGCGCTGCGCCGCTGCCAGGCGGAAGGTGGCGCTTCGACACCGCGCGGCGCCGCGCACGTGGGCTCATCCTCGGTTTCTTTTCTCCTCTTTTCTGGAGCCCGGCCGCCGTGCCCTCCCTTCCCCCTCGCACACCCTCAGGTTTTGTCCCGTCTCTCCCTCTCTTGTTTTGCCTCCTGGATCGTGGACCTCTCTGGGTTCGGCCAGAGTAACGGTCTGCGGAGACTGCGGTGTCCGGGCGGCTCCGGAGCGGTTCCGAAAGGAGTTCAGAGATTCGGGCGGGACGGGTCAACGGGCCCGGGACTCAGCATCCTGCCCGCCGCCCCTCCCCCCACCTTCTCCGTAGACCTCCCCTCCTCCCCCACGTCCCGCCTCCTCTGTCCATCACCCACGCCCTCCTCCCCTGCAGCTCGTCCTGAAACCCTGGCTCTGCCTCCCAGCACGCACCTTCTGGGTCATTTGCTATTTTAACCCAACGGTACAAACCAAAGCTAAAATGAGGTGTACTCGCGTTTAAAGCAAAGATATTTCTTATTTGCCTGCTAAGGCTGCCGCTGGAGCGACGGCTCCAGCCTACTGCTTTTGCCGGGCTCCTTGGAAACTCGCTTTTCTTTGTGTTGTTTCTTACCCACCTATAGCTCTTCTGAGGACAATGAAGAGAAGTCTTTCTGCTTTCTGTTTAACGTGGTTGCTCACCCTGTTTCTCTCATACCTACCCACCTCCAGCGCTGGGGGCTTGTTCTTAAGATCTACAGCCCCTCACCCCACCCAGGGTTGCTCACCCGAGAAATCGGCCGCCCGGGACTAGTGGAATTATCTAAACACACTTCCTTTCAGGTTGGTGTACTGCACAGGGAACTACGCTTCTCATCTCCCACACACCCCCATCCCCGGACGTACAATGGTGCCAGGTTTTCATAGATCATTTTATTTAAAAAGAAAAGGGGGGGGGTCCCTGTGTTTTACTCTTATCGTTTTCACCCTAAAGAAAAGCACCGTCCCAAGCACATGTAATATTGAAGCTAACTTCAGTCTTGATAACGTTGGCATTTTATGTTATTGTTTAAGACCATTGGAACCTTAAGAATTTACTGTCATACTGGTTAACTTGATGTCTGGAGATGTAGAAACCCCATGTGGTATGTGGAAATCCATCTTTGAGGCAAGCCAGACATTCTCTCTTGTTTTCCTCTTAACTGCCTGATTTTCCAGCAATGGGGACATCAGGAGAGGATGGGGTGGGGCCAGCGAGTCCCCATCACAAGGAAAATCTACACTCTAGATACAGGGAGATATTTCATCTCAGCTTCCTGATGTGAAGCATGGGGGCATGAACCATCGTTATTATTATTTATTTTATTATCTTGTGACCTCCCCTTACTTATTTTATTATCTTGCGACCTCCTCTTCCACATCCCTCTCTGGACTGTTTTTGTTGCTGGTTTGTTTTGTTTAGAGACAGGATCTTCTCTCTACACCCCAGGCTAGTCTTGAACTGAGGCATTTCACCTGCCTCGACCTCAAAAAACACCACTTGTGACCACCTGCCATCTTATACAGTAACAGAAAATCTGACAGTTTAAATTCTGCACCAGTTTTTTGCTACCTTCCTGATACGAAATTGTGCACAGCTTCAGAAGGTAAATGACCCCAGGAGAGAGAGGCTGACAGAGCCTCTGTGTGTGTGTGTGTGTGTGTGTGTGTGTGTGTGTGTGTGTGTGTTCTCAGAAGGCTGTAGTGCTCTGGGGTTAGGGGATGCCAGTCAAAAACACACAGAACTTGTGTTCAAAAACTAAAGGGTCATTTGTGAAGAAAGTCGATCCCAAATAAGGAGGCTTCATTTTACTATGGGAGTCCAGAGGCCTGAAGTAACAAGTGAGAGGCTTGCTGGGCCCTTTAGTAAACACTAGCAGAGATTGGGGGTTCCGGAAGCCAGCTGCAGGAGCAAGGCGGAGGGCAGGGTTTGCTGCCTTCTCATTTGGGAGAGCTTTCACAAAAGATCAGCTAGATTGATATTCTATAAGGATCCACCCACATTTTTGATGTTGTCCCTAGGTATTTATTAGAAAAATAATCTGTAAACATCTTTTTTTTCTAATTATGTTGTATACCCTTTTTTGTTCTAAGAGAAAAATCCAAGTTCAAATTTTCTTTTAAAAAGAAAGAAAAAGAAAGGGAATGTGGCTGAAGCCCTACCTGATGCTTACAGGAGCAGCACACACTTTTCTAAAAGAAAAATCAAATTATTAACATCAGCAGGATTAAGCTACTTAAAGGGCTGTTGTCTAAGAGACATTTAATCTTTAGTAGTTTGTATCTTTCCAGTTTAATTTGGTAAAAATGAAAATGTTTCTGTTGTTGTTTTTTTTAACTACAGAGTGTAATCCAGGTACCATTTTACATCCAGTACATGCTTCCTTTCTCTGCCCAGGGCTGAGCTATGTGATTTTCCTGTTAGGGATACACATTGCTGAATACATAATTAACTCTCAGAGTCTTACTGGTCACATTTGTCTGGGGCCCCCATGACTGTACATCTATAATTATGACTGTTATCTTTGTTTTTCAGTACATTTGTATAGAATACTAACATATAAAAAGATATTGCACAAAATCACTTAAAGTTATAGTACATCTGAATAAATGGAAACTATTCCTTTTCTTCTCAAAACCATAAGTGATTATACAGATAAATCTAAAAAATCTATCATTCCTGGTTAAACAGTTGACTCATTGAACTGATGGAAGCATTAAGCCACTCCCGCTTCTCAGCCTTTTAAAACAAACAATATTAACCATCGCATTGACTCTCCTTTTTTTTTTTTCATTTTTTTCTCCCTAAACAAGTTGTTCTGCTGTGGCTCTGTCCTCACAAATGTCCCTCAGGGGGTGTCTGTGGGCACAGATTGGATTCACCCTACCTTGGGTACAACACGAACTAATACAAGCACTGAGAGGAGTGTGCATGCACAGCACACTTGGACAGACAGGATGAGAAGCCACTGTAGACCCTTCACTAGGTGCTTATGTGCATACATGCTGAAATGCTGAGGTTTCTGGCAGGATGATACTGTGGATGTAAGATCTGACCGAATGACTGTAAATACAAGTCTCTCTGTTCTGTGCTCTCTCTATACATACAGGCATGCATATACAGACACATAAATATATTTGTATGCACATACACACATGCATGTACACACATACAGAGACATGCACATGTATTCAAATATGGATACACATACATTGGTAGGTACTCACACACTGCATGAACACACATACATACACAGTCTCTCTCTCTCTCTCTCTCTCTCTCTCACACACACACACACACACACACACACACACACACTCACACAACCTGGGATACAGTCATTGTTTCATCAGGACACACTTAATAATCTTCACATCGATCTTCTATTCTTTTATTCTCCACGTCATTCCACCCAGCACCATGACCCACCAAAGTATGAGTAGTGGGCAGCACAGGTTTGAAGCTTTTCAAAAAAGACATATGTTCTCATGCCCAGGAACCTATCTACATGTGAAACCAAAAGGCCATAAATTGTTTCATGTCTCATTTTCTGGGATTTAAGCAGATTCTATTTTTCTAGTCTATCCCATTGCTGTCCATTTCTTTAAATATGGCTTAAAGAACTGCAAAACTAACAAGGTAGCAGCAAAGACCGAGAAACTTAGCACTGTGTAGGATGAGACCTAAGGTCTCGAAGCAGTTTGCCTTGTGTTGAAAACTGGCTCCAATGTCTTGGCCCCCGCCCCGGCGGGCGCCCCCGCGCGCCGGACCGCCAGCCAAGGTCATACCATGGATCCCTCAGCTTTTAGGTAATAAGGAAAACATTCTACACATTTGCTCTTTCTGAAGGATGTGTTTGTTACCTTCTTTCTATTATGACTATAAGCTAGGCATTCTTGTTTCTTTTGAAAAATAGATTTTGATTTTAGAAAGGAACGTGAGGTTCACAAAAAAATTGAATGAGAAGGACAAAAGGTGATGATGTAGCGTCTGTCATGAATACACAACCTCTCCTTGTACCACAACTCTCACTTTAGTGGTGCATATATCAGTGGTCTGTCAACCAGTATTCAACCTTCACAGCTATGTGTCCACACTTGATGTGAGCCCTGGTCCCTGGGCTGGTGATGTTAGGGACTCACCATGTGTCATTATACCATCATTATCTTCTCACCCAGAGAGTTCAGGTGAAAATCTTCTGTTCTATCTCTGCCCTCTTCTCTCTCTAGCCTCTAGCATGCCCTGATCTTATTGCCCGCTCCCTCAAAACACATACACACCACTCCGTGGCCGTCATGTATGGGAACTGCCTAGCACACAGCATTTTCAGGCCAGCTCTTTGCACACAGCAAGCTGCACACAAGGTCCTCCATGTTTGCAAGCACTGGTACATTTTCAGACCCACCGGTTATCTGCTGTCTGAGTGTTGCACAGCTTCAGGACATCCTGGCTGTTCCCGACAAGGTTGAGTGCGATGAGTAGATCTACTGCAGATACCTTGTGCGAGTGTGTGTGTGTGTGGGGAGGGTGCTGGTGTGGGGAGGGTGAAGGATAAATGTGTCTGCATAAAATAGATCGTCGAGGGACT